GAGACCGACTGCAATGGGTCAAATGTGTCTCCTAAAAGTCCATGTAATGGAAACTTGATCTCCATTGTAATAGTATTAAAAGGGTGGAAAATCCTATTATGGTAATTGAAAGCTGGGGCATTTAAGAAGTGATTAGATTGTGAGAACTGTGCCCTCATGAATGGATTGATCCATTCATGGAGTGTTGGGCATGGTTCTGATAGCTTTATAAGGAGGGCTGGTGAGAAGAGTAATTCACTCTTGCTCAGCCCATTCTTGCCATATGACACCCTGGTCACCCCAGGACTCTGTATAGAGCCCTCACCAAGAAGAAGGCCCTCACCAGATGTGTTCCCTTGACCTTGGACTTCCCAGCCTCAAAAACTGTGGGAAAGAAATTTCATTTCTTCATAAATTACCCAGTTTCAGGTATTCTGTTATAAGCAATAGAAAGGGACTAATACGCTGACACTGATCCCTTAATATGTCCCCATTCACCTTGGAAACCAGCCAGGCACCTTGTGGCAGGTTGATTACATTGGACTTCTGTCTTGAAGGGGGCAGAGATTTGTCCTCACAGAAGTAGACACACTCTGGTTATGGATATGCCTTCCCTGCCCATAACTTTTCTGCCAGTAGCACCATCTATAGACTCACAGAACACCTTTTCCACCAACATGGAGTTTCCCATAGTGTCGCTTCTGATCAATAATTCCCACAGCACTGCTTCCTTCACAGCAATGAAGTGCAGCTGTGGGCTCATGGCCATAGAATTAACTGGTCTTACCACATGCCCCCTCATCTGGAAGCAACTGGGCACACTTCAAAAGGTGTAATGGCTTAGTAAAGACTCAGTTATAGTGTCAGTTGGGAGTCAACACCCTGAAATGGTGTGGGGAGTGCTATCTTAGAGGATAATATATGTACTTTGAGACAGAGAACAGTAGTATATGGTGCTATCTACCCCATAGCCAGAGTAGATGGGTTTTGAAATCAAGAGGTGGAGATGGCTCCTTCCACTATTAAATCCAATAATTTGCTCATGGAACTTTTGTTTCTCATCCTGGCTACCTTGCACTCTGCTTATTTGGAAGCCTTAGTCCCCCAAGAGGAATTGCTCACGAAGGGACACACCAATGGCTCCACCAGGACAAGACCCCGATCAGCAGGCCCTCTGCCTGATCTTACAAGGGAAAGGAAAACGTAGCCAAAGTGTCCAAAGAGTCCACGAGGAGGAAGATTTCTCAGAGGTGCTCACTTCTGCAAAATACATTCTGGGTATTGGAAGAGTTTTGACTTTGTCACGTTTATGCAAAGAGAGAGAAAACAGCCATGCACACTGACTTGTATTTGCTCATCTAAATGTAAAGGAAAGTTGGGGTTTTAAGGTCTGTAGAAATAGACAAATCTTTTCCAGGCCTCTGAGGTGCTTGAAGATGGAATTAAAAAGAAAAACTTCTTTGTATCTTGTCTACATAAGTTGTAGCACAGGGCTAACATAGATCAGGGCTTCCAGGCAATACAAAATTAATGTTAGTCAGTTACCCCCTCTCTGAGCCATCACTGGTGATTATGCTAAGGTCATCACTATTCATATACTCTATGTCTCCACTTATACCTTTAAAACATTTCCTATTTTTTGCCCCTATTCCAGTGTTGTAGTTAAGTGCGTGGACTCTGGAGTCTGACTGTAAGGGGTTTAAATCCTGGCTCAGCCACTTTCTAGCTCTGTGATCTTGGGTAAGTCAATGAACCTCTCTGTGCCTAAATTTCTTTATCTGTAAAATGAGGGTAATAGTATCTACTTTGGGATGTCAGTGGACTCTGGAGTCTGACTGTAAGGGGTTTAAATCCTGGCTCAGCCACTTTCTAGCTCTGTCATCTTGGGTAAGTCAATGAACCTCTCTGTGCCTAAATTTCTTTATCTGTAAAATGAGGGTAATAGTATCTACTTTGGGATGTCGCTTGGAGGATTAATTAAGATGACATATGGAAAGTCCTTACAACAGTGCTTGGCCCATCATAAGCAATGACTAAATGTTAGCAATTGTTAATATTATAATTTGGCAATGCTTGCTCTAAGTCAGCTTGCCAGGAATATAAACCATTTCACATCCCCTCCCTGTCTTTCTCTAGCAAACCTGCAGAACATCTGATAAATAACTGTTATAAATGGAACTATGTACCTCCCCCACCCCACCCCAATTCATATGTTAAAGCTGTAAACCTCCAGTGTGACCATATGTGGAGATAGAACCTTTAGGGAGGTAATTAAGGTTAAATAAGGTCATAAAGGTGGGGTCCTAATCTAATAGGACTGGTGACTTTATAGGAAGAGGAATACACAGTAGACATCTGTCTCTCCATGGCACAAGGAGGAAAGGCCACAAGAGGACACAGAGAAAAGGTGGCCATCTACTAGCCAATAGGAGAAGCCTCATTAGAAACCAAACCTCGCATCTTGATCTTGGATTTCCAGACTCCAAAAGTGTGAAAAATAAATATCTGTTGTAAAAGGCACCCAGTCTGTGGTATTTTGTTACAGCAGCCCTAGCAGACTGGTACAATAACTTTATAAATTTCATAATTTAAATATTCAGTTAGAGACAAGTTAGCAGTACAGATAAACAGTCTCTGATGTTATCTCTGAACACCATAGACCCATTGTGTGAAGGTCTGGTGTCTACCACGACAGGTTGCAGAGACAGTCATCTATGCCCTTGATTCACGTTCTGCTTGATTCACTCTGATGATAATCAATTTTTCCTACAGAATTCATTAAGGCTCCAGGCTGAGTACTAGATATGCAGGGATTATTATCTTCTTTGAGGAGCTCTCACTCTTACTTCTTTCTGCTTCGGAGCCTATCACAGAAGGTTTTGTAAGAATAAGAATTTGGTTGATTGAGTCACTGATAAGATTCTGAATTAGTGTGACCCTCTTGTCAGCTGTAAACTCTGAGACCTTCATGAGCTGGGAAATGCTGCCTGGAGTCCTGATTGGTTCATGGTCTGCTCAAAGCCTGCCTTCAGATTTCTTTTGATTCCCTAAGTACTGGCTTCTCATGGGCTCTTCCTCCAGAGAACATGTCCCTTATGGGCTGCGTTTGCACCCCAGAGTTGCCTTTCAAAACTGTGTCCTCTCTTTTCCTTGACCTCCGTCCAGATTTTCCCAGGAAGTCTCTTTCCTCCAGTTTACAGAAGAATTCAGTTGGGTTGCAAGATCCAAGCTTGCAGAAACCCAAATTAATGAGAAGCTTTCAGAACAGAGTATTCTGTTTTAAGGAAGTTTTGCTTATAAATGTATCGTAGATATAATTATACGTAACATGTATGATATATATGATGATATGAATATTATAAACATGACGTGCATGATAAATATATAAATATGAACATATTTGTAAATAATAACAATGTCTTCTTGTTTCTTCTTACTACACTAGGCAATTTATAGATCGAGAGAATCGTCGAGTTTGGGTCTCCTCAGATTCACTCATTGACTTGTGAAAAGCTGTGTGGAATTTATTTCTGAATTTATTTCTCAGGGGTAGGGTGTTCAGAATCTGGAAGTAGGGACTATGTAAATCATCTAGCTTTAGGAAAATACTGGTAAGGGCAAAATGACTTTTCAAATCATTTATCAAGGCTTTCCTAAGATCATCATTAAACAATAATCAAAATCAGAAAGAGAGAGAGAGAGATCCAAAAGGGTTTATTAGCCTGCACTGAATTTCCCAGTTAATGTCAGGGAAGATAAAACCAGATTTGATTTCTATGAATGTCGACTCTAAATGAACTGCACAGAAAATGTAAAAACGCGTGAAGAGTAATCGTGCAAGCTGAGGGCGGTTGTCTTAAGGCTGTCCGCGTTCGGAACGACAGTGCACGCCTGGCAAGCTCCGGGCCAGTCCGCAGTGGGGCGCTGCTCCGCGGCCAGGACTCGGTCCCCTCAGCGCCGGCCGCGCCCCGCCCCAGCCCGAGCCCCAGCGGCGGCCGATCCCCGCCCGTCGCGGGGGG